TACGGTGGTTCGTATACGACATCAATTATTTTTTCAATTTTGAATTTAAAAACTGGAATATATATTGGTGTAACCTATATTCGTGCATATAGGGATTCAACATCGGAATTTCGTCAAAATTATGAATCCCTCACCTTGACCCACATTTAATGCGTAACCAACTCAACAATGGCTGCTAAATGCATCATCTATTTTGGTGTACAATGTTTGATCGATAAATAAGTTGTATAATTAACTTCTTGTAGTATTTATCTTTAATAATATTTCATTATAACTAATGACAATTCCTTCAAAAAACAAAAACTTAAGAGTGGTTTATTGCTAAAACTCATTGAAACAACATAAGAATATGGCCCATACTTTGTTCCACGGAATTCCGATTTGAGCCTGGGATTAGCCTATAAGAGAATTTTCCAATAAAAAATTGTGATATTTGGTAATAACTGAAATCCGCCATTTTGTACATGTTAGATATATAAATTCGACGTGGCTTTGAAACGACAAAAACATTCTGCAAGTTGATGTTTTAGAGATAACCCATGTTTATCAAAACATGCAAATGCGGAGGTCATTCGAGGTCGCAGATGTAAATTATTAATCATTTCCAGAGATGCACGAAAAATAGTTTAGCACGAAATTAGGTTACTTGACTGTAATTATAAAATTATAAAAAATAATTTTGAATCAAAAACTTCTATTTTCACCCGGAATATAATTATAAAATTATAAAAAACCCGGGTGAAAATACAAGTTTTCAATTCAAAATTCTAGAATTTTCACAATACAGTTTTTAATTCAAAATTATGTTTTTATACTTATATTCCAGTTTTTTTAATTCAAAATACAAAAAAAATAAATGATATCGTATACGAACCAACGTACCTCAAGGTTCTTATGTTACTAACTATATTCAGGTAGCAATATTGATATCCCTTGACAAATCAATGTCAAAAAGTCGGAAAAAGAAAACGAAATCTACCATTCATCATCGAGACAGATTCAGCTTTACGGAAACTGTCGAGCATTGCCGATTGTTCTATGTATCCGTCATTCGTGGCTATATTTCGAGATTGTAGGACCTCTCACTGGATATCAAGAAGATAGCTATATTTATGTTCTCGAGAATTCCTATATTCATTTACTTGTCACTCAGCTGTTATTCATGTGATTCCATCAACTTCATCAAGGTGTTTCTCACATACACTAATATATAGATTATTGGTATAAACACAAGCTCTGTAATTTTTCACTTTAACGAACGCACATCACCATTTCATGGGACAGACTTTTCTTTTGTATTAGAGCTTATCGCCATGAATCTCTACTCGAATTTCCTCCTTCAGATTGAAATACAGGGGTTACTTTTACACAGCAATATTTTGTTTTAAATTTTACAAACGCAGTCCTCAATTTTATATTTCTTAATAAGAAAATTGGTATTTTGAGAAAATCACATATGAAGGCAACTGGGACCAGGGCGGCCAATATAGTTTGGTGATGATACAAGCCAGATTGTTGCAATGCGTAACTAAAATAAGATACTATTGAAATTGAAATCATACGCAATATGTTCAATTTTAATATCAAAATAGCCAATCGAACACCTCTATCAAATTGTTGACGTGTTGTTGTGGTTTTTCTCTGTTTATTGTATTGATAGATCCTCCAAGCTGAATAGAAAAATATACTTTGTGGTATTATGAACGTGTTAACCAGTTGGAACACTATTATCCATATTCCATATTCAGTTAACTTGTACTCAAAAACAAAGTTGTTTCCAATGATTAACATGTTTACATCAAAAAAGACAGTACATGACACACCAATATTCCACAGCCACAAAACACCAATTGTAACATAAATCTGAAAAGCAGAAGTGTCTGTCTTTTCAAATCCACTTTTAAATGCCAAGTAAATGTGGTACATATTGGCCCCAAACATAGTCATAGACATCATCATGAATGTTCTTGTGATTATTGCAAGAACAACGTGATCGTTGTAGGTTAAATCAAACACAGAAGTCAACATGACTATATCGTAAAAAGCTAACTAAAGGTTGATTCCTTTATTGGAAATGAGCTCATTGACCCAAATATATTTACAAATTCTAGATATAGTCTGTAGTTTCACGACCAGGTAAATAAGAACCACATTTTGAAACGCAACAAGAAAATTCAAAAACATTGTAAAGAAATTAACTTCTCCTTCTATGGCCTTGGTTGTACACAACATCGTGGTATTGGAACATAATGCAGTCATCTTGGAAAATTAGAGTTGCCTTGATGTCCCTTGATGTGTGGCTATACAGATGAAATGAAGACTCGAAAATTTTTTTCACATAGTAATAGCATAATTGGTGCTCAGTGTCTTGGAGATTGTGTATCTGTAAAGGATTAAAAGTATTTAAATACCAACCCAAAAAACAACATGATTTTAAGAGACTCCAAACAAAGATTGATGTGTCAGACTGAATAAATTAGTCAAAAATCTGAAGGTTTGATGTAACGCCGGCGAATGTAAACAGTCTTGTTTGTGTGCAACACGCGTTCTGTGAAAGGAACGGTTAAAAAAAAACCCCACAACTTTACAAAGCCGACCCTTAAAACGAAAAGGACGTATCCTTACCTGCTCAATGCTCATTGGGAGGAAAACTTCAACCTGGTTAATTGAGTATTGTTTATTTATACTACTTTTCAATCCACAGGTGCTGATGTTATAATCATCGCATCCAATATCGATTTCTTTCTCAATGAATGTACACATATAGTGAGGACAATTGAGTTCCGAAGTCTTCCAACACGATTCATAACAAAAATTTGCTAAATCTCATAGTCTAAAGCCATGAAATAGCAATATTCTATAATTTATAATACGTGGACATATATATGGATAGCAATGACTGAAACAGGACATATACGCGCATCTGCAGGAACATCTAATCTGTTGTTTGTCAACTCGGCATCTCTTTCACAGAACTAACGTATATGTTTATTAGTTAAATTAGACAATTATAACCATTAGAATGAAATTATGGTCGCAGGAAATTTGTTCATGAAATATTTAGTGTCAAAATAAATTGAAACCTAAAGTAGAGCAATATGACAACCTTTTAGGTTTCGCTACCTCACAATTCCTTTTTATTTTATCAAGAAACGGGTTTTGCATGACACGCTTAGATTTGTTAAAGATAACACCATCCGAACAGACCTTTGGTAGAAATCTAGATAAGATTACAATGTCGACTAAAATATCAGAAAACAAAAAGGATACGAAATTGTAGTCTAATTCTAATCAGATTGGTTTGGTTCATTAACATTAGTTGTTGAATCATTAAGCCATTAATTGATAGCCTATTAAGGCAAAAGAACGATTTCTACAGCGATAATTGTTGCTGTGATAATGTGAAAATTAGCATTGTTCTATTGAGTTTGTAGCGAACGAATATCCCTTGGGAACAAATTTGAAAGATTATCCTAACATTACCATAAACCATGGACATACAGTATATTTAATTTTCAGGTAGAATACATAGTTAATGTACAGGTTTTATAGTGATTATAACCAAACGACCCAAAATTGAAATGGACAGCTCATGTGTCTATTTTGGTGTAAATAAATATCTTTTCTCGACTGTATAATTTGATAATACCCTCCTTTTCATGCGTTCACATATTTTTCACACACCAGTTCATATATATAAATGTTAGTGGGCTTATGTTATCTTGTGTGTCGATGTATCATCTTTCGGATTATCAATGTCTGAGTTTCTCTTTATGTTTAATCAGCTTGCTTAACGGAAATCATCCTTTTAATTTAATTTGAAAAGTTGATGCAAACTTTGGAATATCAGAACTGATTGTAGATTTATTGGCACAGAAATGAGATTTTGAAGGCTTGAAAGATATTGTAACTATATAGGGTCTTTTGACATCAAGCTGTCAGGTTATTTGTTATATTTGTTGTATTGAGTCAACCAGCCTTTACATCATGCTGAATGAAGCGTTGTCACTGTAGGCTTGGATGGTTTCGATTCAGATTTACAACCAGACATATAAATTCAATAAGTTTATTTGTCGATCGGAGAAGTTGCACACACAAAATACATAAATAAACGGAAAATGAGGAAACTGATGTTGACTTGGCTAAATCAGTACAGAAAGACCAGACTTACACGCATCTGACAGTTCCTTGGATTGAATACTGAAAGAGCTGGTATTTGAAAAGTTCTCGAAGAGAAGAAAGTTAGTAGAGCCTTCGTGTGTGACTGAGCTCGGAACGTTAGTGTTAGTGACTGAAACTAACTGTCAAAGAAAAAGCCTGGAATAATTGGCAAGTCAGAAAATACTTTCGTGCAGGAGCCACCATCTTGAAAGAAGAAAAAGTTCTAAATCGAAACGGGCCAGATCGGAGGTAGAAGCGATCGAACACCAAAATTACTACTAAAGAGGTGTTCAAAATCCAGAGTTCATAAAATCTTCACACAAGCTGAAATTTTGAAACCTGTCTTTCTCTGTTTAGTCAGAAGGCCAATATTATCTTGGGAAAGAAAAAAGACAGAAGAGATAAACCCATGGCATTGGTTGAAAAAAAAAACAAAAAAAAACAGAGAATAAAGGTAAATTTTAAAATATCGACCATCTCTCTCTGTAGTTTGAATACCTCGGACGTCTTTGACAATATTTTGACAATGATTGATAGTGGCTGATTTAATCGAGTTTAAATGATCTCAACGAAAGGAAAAGTCAATAATACCTATTGACATTTATTTTAAAATAGCCTTCAACGTAAACAATCTTCGGTAATACTTATCTGGAATACTGGCTGTTTAGATGTACATGTACTTAGTGAAATATTGAGGGATTAACACATTATCATTATTCAGATATAAATATAAATTCATGCGACTTGACACAAAGTTTTGTTTTCTACTAAAAATCTAGTTTCATTAGTTTTACTCAAACAAAACATAGTGATTTTACCAAGTTTGTAGTCTAATAAGAATGCAACAACGAGCTCTTGGTGTGCCAACATCGCTGTCGTTATCAAGAAAAAGACACTCATCAGAAGAGAAACTTTATTTCAGACGCGAAGTTTCCAAAATTCACACAACTGTTCAAAAAAGTGACAAAAGTAGGATATTTTCTGCATCGCAAGAAAGGTTCAACAATGCCAACATTGCAAGATGTTTCAATACTATTTCAACAACTGTGAATAACCAAATTGGTTTAAGTCAATGGGAGACAACCGAGAAACTGTGTGGACGTGGAAATGTCGAGAATTATAGTGGTGAAGCTCAGTGTGAAATACTCGGTACAAAGTACTGTTCAGATTGTTGTCGTATCAATGAAAAGAAAATTACCAGACATGAGAAGAGTCCTAAACTCTATATTTTACCTGAAGATTTTAGAAAAGGACCTCTTCAGACATATTCTCCAATGGAAGTGTTTCAGAGAGTCTATAAATATCACAAAAATCAGCTGATTGGAGAAAATACAGACATACAGACCACTGATTTACCTAACAGACGACCACAATCATACTATTCTACCACTGCTGAATAATGATGGCGAAATCATGCTACTTTATCATCACTTACTGAAAATGGCGACAATAGTCATCTACTTCGTCACAAGTGAATGATGATGTCGAACACACTCATACTACTACCATGACTGAATGATGATGCCGACCACAATCATACTACTCTACCACTTTTGAATGATGTTGCCGACTACAATTTACAATCATACTTCTCTACTACTACCGGGTAATGATGATGACACTATCATATTACTCTACCATTACTACCACAATCATAATTTTACCACTACTGAATGATGATAACGATAATATTCTACCACTACTGAATGATGATAACGACTACAATAATACTACTCCAACGCCACTGAATATGTCGACCACAATCATGCTACTCTACCACTCCTGAATGATATAGACGACCACAATAAAGCTATCTTACCACCACCGAATAATGATGACCACCAGAATCATACTATTCTATCACCAGTGATATTTAATATATCAAAAAATACGACGAAAGTGTCTGTTTTACTTCTTTGGAAAAACGTTTACATGACCAACGCATAGAATGGGAATTTGTCTTTTTGGTATCGAAATTTCCAAACTTAGTGATTTATTCAAGTCTTACTCTGTTCCACGATATAAAGTAAAAAAAAAATAACCATATAAATATTTTTGTTCACGAGTTACAGACGGGTTCGTCTGAAAAATTGCTTCACCATAAATTGGAGGTCACATCCTTTGCCATACCAAAAGAAAGACATTACTATCTTGTATTTCAAATTATCTCTATCGTACCATCAGGTATATATACAACATAAACAATATTGACTATGGGGTCTCACTCCAAATTGGGTACTGTGGGACTGGCTCATCATGGTCGATTTAAGTTCATTATTTGTTCTGCTTGTAAAGCTATGTGCGTTTACTATTACTGCACGGGCGAACTTTTCTTTTTGAATTAGTAGGTGGGTGTAAAGAAAATGTTTCTTTGTCATATACAAGACCCTTCACATCGCTTTTCCTTGAGTTTGGAATCACCCGCAATCCACGGCCATCTTTGATACTACGCATCAATCTGTCTCTCTCTGGTTCAAAACTTGATACATGTACTTTAACTGGCCCTAGTTTATTAGCATAGGTACAATAGCAACACCCGGTATTACATGGCATAGACATTCTACATACATCAATTTCTGTCGTAGGTTTAGGTTCTTGTTTTCGCTTCTTGAGAATTTTACGAACTTCGGAGCATGATCTTGTCACACGTTTGCTTGCTATGCTTGTTTGAGGCCTGTTATAACTCAGTAGTTTGTTACAACGTATAACGTCCTTACATGGTTCCGTACACATTTTAGGTGGCCCTTCATCAGCAATATCGACCTCGTTATCACTATCTACATGAGGGCTGTAAGAGACTATTTTGGGCATATTAATGTTCCGCAGGAAACAACTTCAAAAGTAGTGTCCTTTGAGGACGGCAAAGTCACAGGTTTGAAACACCTATTAAGTACTTATAATTACACACAATCATCACTGTGTACAATTACTGTTCATGTGATTAATAACAGCACCTGCTTAAGAGCAATTCTTGACAAAAATAGTTATTTCTTTATAATGGTATACCATGTTACCCTGACTGAAAACGGGTTTCTGAAATCATATTATATTTTTACAAAAAAATTCAATCCAGTTTGAACATGGGACTCACTTCAAATAAGTTCTTAAAAGATGAATATATTTCCCTTGCACAGGCACCTCAGGATTGCAACCAATTAAAACTATCACAAACTCGGATATTCGGTAACAAAACGAAAAAGAAAAACTGATAAATTATTCCAGAACACAGAACAACTTAAGGAACTGACAGTGGTTTTCTTTCAGACGATCCAGATGCCAGGAAACCACCACAGTTCTTTGAGGTGTGACAAGCCACACCTTGATCAATTTTCCATATTGAATTGTTTAATTAGTCACTGATTACAAGATTTATATTCTGTTTGTTTCTGACAAACACTTCAACTGTTAAGTTATTTTAAGATGGCTAACAACCAGCCACTTTGAGATAACAAATTTCCAACTCCACCTACAAGAAGCTATGTTATATCAAAACCTTATTATCAATTTGTATTGCGGAATATTGTTTATTGCATATACTTTGATGTGTCTTGCAGCTTTATAGATATCACTACACAATGAAATTACCATGATTATTAAGTAAAATATACCTTTTGATTTAAATACTTATAAGAATTTGGCACTTGTTTAGCTTGCAAAATGTTTATTGGTTGTTTTTCACATGTCACTGTCTAGAAATTCCAAAACAAGGCTGTACATACAAGTATTCATTGAATATTATTTAACGTTTCATGAACACATTTTGATCCTTTCTGTCTGTAAGTGTGGAATATTCCTGTAATCTTAATATCAATATGGTTTTGACGTGGGTATAATGACTAATTGTAATAACTGTATTGATTAGATATTATTAGTCAGAGAAAATAGAAGATAATAAATGGATTTTTAATCTGTTGATCGTTATTTACAAAATCAGAAGTAATCGTCGCAATATTATTCATGATGAAACCAAATTTGTATTTCTGAGAAGTAAAAATTTATAGATCATTTAGTGAAATGTAGGTTATATTTACAGTACAGAATATATTGTATTATGTCGAAAGAGCAACGTGTAACACAGTTGAATGTAATCTGACAAAGGTCAAACGACAATAAAGTAGATGGAAAGGATTATCTGAAAGATTTGAAACAACAATAACGTAGATTGAAAGGGTGATCTGAAAGTTGAAACAACAATAAAGTAGATTGAAAGGGTGATCTGAAAGAGATGAAATAACAATAAAGTAGATTGAAAGGGTGATCTGAAAGAGATGAAATAACAATAAAGTAGATTGAAAGGGTGATCTGAAAGTTGAAACAACAATAAAGTAGATGGAAAGGTGATCTGAAAGTTGAAACAACAATAACGTAGATTGAAAGGGTTATCTGAAAGAAATGAAATAACAATAAAGTAGATTGAAAGGGTGATCTGAAAGAATTGAAACAACAATAAAGTAGATTGAAAGGGTGATCTGAAAGAAATGCAATAACAATAAAGTAGATGGAAAGGGTGATCTGAAAGTTGAAACAACAATAACGTAGATTGAAAGGGTGATCTGAAAGAAATGAAATAACAATAAAGTAGATTGAAAGGGTGATCTGAAAGATTTGAAACAACAATAAAGTAGATTGAAAGGGTGATCTGAAAGAAATGCAATAACAATAAAGTAGATGGAAAGGATGATCTGAAAGAATTGAAACAACAATAAAGTAGATGGAAAGGATGATCTGAAAGATTTGAAACAACAATAACGTAGATTGAAAGGGTGATCTGAAAGTTGAAACAACAATAAAGTAGATTGAAAGGGTGATCTGAAAGAAATGCAATAACAATAAAGTAGATGGAATGGATGAGCTGAAAGTTGAAACAACAATAAAGTGGACTGAAAGGATGATCTGAAAGTTGAAACAACAATAAAGTAGATTGAAAGGGTGATCTGAAAGAAATGAAATAACAATAAAGTGGATTGAAAGGGTGATCTGAAAGTTGAAACAACAATAACGTAGATTGAAAGGGTGATCTGAAAGAAATGAAATAACAATAAAGTAGATTGAAAGGGTGATATGAAAGTTGAAACAACAATAAAGTAGATTGAAAGGGTGATCTGAAAGAAATGAAATAACAATAAAGTAGATTGAAAGGGTGATCTGAAAGAAATGAAATAACAATAAAGTAGATTGAACGGGTGATCTGAAAGAAATGAAATAACAATAAAGTAGATTGAAACAATAATAAAGTAGGTGGGAAAGGTTGTTTAAAAGATTAAATAACAATACAATAGATGAAAAGGGTGATTTTAGGATAAGAAATGTTAATAGAGAAAATTAAAGTGTAATCGGAAAGAAAAGAAATCGATGATATAGTTATAATGACAATACATAACAAATAACCATTATCTGAATTGAAATTGAGTTTTGAGTCTTACTTTTCTGCGAAAGATCGGGTTATTGAAGAAATGCAAAGCCCTGCGGTGTACAAGGAGGAGCATTTTACCTGATCAGAGGCTTTTGTCTCTATTTCTTAGTTTTCGTCTTTCTCCGGATCTGTAACGAACATAGACTGAAACACAAGGTAAGGTTGTCAGCCATACAAAAGATACTGTGAATAAGATAAGAATAGAGTAATAATATCTTACAATGTGACATTATTTCTATCTATTGATTAATTGATTTATTAAATATTGACACTAACAAATCTCTTCAATAGGTCTAAGTAAAATAAATAACAAATCAATTTTTGAAAGTCTTATAAATGTAGACGTTAATCATCATAATATGAGGATGTATTACCAGCCACAGAGTTCTAATCCTGGATTTTACAAGAACGCCATAGGATCAGGAAGGTCGTTCGACACGCGGCGTAAAATCTCCATGAACACAATCAAAAAAGGGTACAAGCGTGACAAAGAATCTTCAAAACGGCTACATTTGTAACGGCGACATCTTGGCTGAGTCTCCCATTTGGTTTTCTCTGCGTATAGTTCTTATTATGCCTCATGCTTTTCCTGAGCGATCCTCTATTACTCTTGTGCAACATTTCGGGTTAGATGACGTTAGAAAAACCTATAAGCCCGACAGAAGTGCCAAAAAACCCATACTTATCAATAGAAACGGACAACAGTCGTGACGGGCTCACCGTGGGAACGCAATATAGTCCCAAACGTCTGTTTAAGATTTCGTAACTTTTAGGGATGTTTTAAATTTCATGGAATTTGATATGGATTGAAACATATCGTGAACAATTTTGTTGTTTCTCTGATGTATCAGAGATGGTAATTTAGTTTTTTTGGGTTCATTTAATACGACAGCAATTAGCAAAGTTAAAATCAAAATTCGAAAAAAAAGGCATTGATATTGACTTAACAGATAGTGTTAGGTTACCAAATTATTGTAATTTGACAATAGCGGGCCATATGACACCGTATACCTAATGACGATTATAATTATGTATTCTTAATACAAAAAATATAGAACAAAGTGACTGTTATCTGGTGATTATATGATAATATTAATAATCACAATAGGATTAAGATAGCTGGATTAATGTTTTATCACGAGGGTTGCTATGTGTCTTTTGAGCCGTAGTAACACCAACTATGAATATACAAAGCGACATGACTATGTGAAGTTAAAATATATCCTTTATACATTTTACCGTCAGATTATTCACCTCTATATTATTTTGTTTAGAACTTAGCCTTATTTTCTCGTACACACTAACTTATTCTGAAGTGGTTTGGCATAGGATATGCGTATAGAATAATAATGTTGGATTAAATTCTGAATCAGGTAAGGATACACTCTTGTTACCCTGGCCCATGTTAAAAAAATACCACCTAAATTTGAATTGGTGCTACAATATATTGAGCGCTATTATAATATGGTAGGTTACATTTAGTACTCCTTTTACTCTTGCAAATAAACTTTAAGCATCCACATTCCTATACTATATTTCAACTTATTAAATAATTAACTCTACAGACTTATTAATTTAATAATTAATTCAAACGAAATTGACAAAATAAACATATCTATCTTTTCTAAATGATGATGTGGTATTTCATTAAATAATTAGACACATGGTACATTTTATAAAATTAATAATTATAATTATCATTGATACGAATTTGATGCAATATTACGGATTTTTCTTTTTAAATTAAGAGATTACCTGTCTTAAAGCAAAAATTATAAAATTACCTTTCACAAAGCTAAACTTTAATTGGTAATTTTGTCAAGCAACTCAAGACAATCAGATAAGAGCACATTAAAACTCCTTTTTTTACACTTTTTTAAAAGGACATTTTTGTATAGAAAAAATTAAAAGACCATTAAGTAAAGCATAAATCAAGGGACAATTTTATGAAGTATAAATTAAAGGACACTTATGTGAAACACAAATTACAAATTGTAAATATTTCTTAAATCACAAATTTAAATGATACTTTTGTAAACAATAAAAGGTAATATTTGTAAAGCTCAAATAAAAATTGTAATGCATATATAAAAGGTGCATCTTCTTAGTGCACAAATTAAAATGACATTCATGTAAGCACAAATGAAAAGGATGCTTTTGTGAAGCACAAATTACAAAGAAAATTTGTAAAGTATACATTTTAAGGACATTTTTAAAGCACAAATTAAGAAGAACATAATTCCAAAGCACACGGGGTACTTTACAGCATAAAATAAACATGATAATGTAAAGCACAAATTTAAAAAACACACTCTTGTTACGCTTAATTTAAAACGGCTTTAAAGCACACCTTATTGTTTCACGTATAGGACACATTTCCTTTGAACGAGACCCATTGACCTAATAATAAATTTATTTGACACTATAAACCTAAATACTCTTGTTGTTTATTTTGTAATTTATGTAAATATTTATTTAATAATAAAGTTAACCATTATTTAAATTTTTTATATTTTAATTCTCTACACGTATATTCATTACGTTCAACCATGACACTTTCTAAAAATTATTTTCAGTCCAATATCATTTAACAATTGGATATATAAGCATGTTTAGACAAAACTTCTTAATACTTTATCAACGAAGAATACAAATTCGCAGCATAAACTATAGTGAAAATACGACGGGTTTTAGCATTTATTGAGCTTATTAGACATTATCAACGATTAACTAATTTTATGTATTCAGCGAGAAGCAACTTAAAGGCCAAAAAATATTGTATCTTTAATGATTCATTTGCTGAAAGCAAGAATCGTGTATAGCTTTATTACTCACATTTTCAAATAAAGAAATTTTATAAAAGTAATTGGGTTTATATTTTAATCACAGTCACATAAATTACCTTTTATAATTGTTCATGTGACTTGAGTCTTTACATTATTCCTTCTTCTTTTCAGATGCAAAGAATGGAAGACCTAACAACTTAGGTCTAACAAGGAAAAGTAATGCAACTGAAGCCATTAAGAAGGTTATTAAGTGAGATATAACAAGTTAAGAGTTAATTTAATTTGACATGCATGCTTTGATTATAATACATTACAGTATTACATATTAACCAATAACATTAAACATGGAGACCGTCTTAATGGAGGTCTACAGTATGAATAGACTTATTCAATTTGTCACGAAAATACTGAATAATGTATAAACTAATCCTGGAGTGAGTTCAGTGATTTCAGCGGATAAAAGAATTCAATACATACCTCTCAATGAATGGAAGTACATTTGTGAAGGTCGTTAAGTAGACGCCTGTGGGCTTTGCGAGCAGACTGAAGTAGTACGTTTAAAGCAATGATGGAATTGGACAGTAAACTAAAAGTGAATCCCGTGATAAGCGAGACATCTACAATAGATAGCTTACCTGTGGTAGAAATACGCCCCTTTACTAGACAAGTTTGGAGAAGGGAACGAAGTTTTGCTGAATTTTACAATAAACCACCAGAAACTAACCAAAATGCTGAACAGAGGTACTATCCGGGTGAAAATTTGCCTAATATTGTAGAAGTTCTTGCTGATATAACCCAATCTTCTAATAAGGTAGAAGATGATAAGAAACGCACCAAAACAATCACCCACCCAAAGATGCCAAGCATTAACGTCTCGGCATCATATAGTTCTCCAAGTATTATAGCTAGCTTTATTACCAAAGGTGATCGAACCAAAACCACCTTATTTCTGTCTCAACAAGAAGAAAATCCAAAAAGTTATAGTTGTAGGAAGCAGGCTTTGAATTCGGCTACAGTTCGACGTCATCAGCAAATGAAGCTTGATGGCGATCCTCTGAACCTCCCAGAAGAATTGCCCAATAGATTTGTTTATTTGAATCCTTTGAATTACTACAAACAACGTGCTATGAAACATAAGAAATATCGCCAATCACACCATAGCAGTGCCCCATCTGATGATAGAATAAAAGACATCTCTAGTCTACCAGGTAGGGAAATCGGTATTATCGGTATCCAAAGAAAACGATCAGCGGCTAAACCAAGATTACGTCCATTATCGGCTACCAAGAGAGAGTCTTCAGTACATGGCTTGAAATCCGATGGAATGGGAAAGGATATAAAGCAAGCATTGGTTTTTCCCGAATCCAAATCTACTATTATTGAACAGCAGTTGGAAATAGACAGATCGTTTCATCTACAAAGATGTCGCAGAAATATGGACATTGGGTATACCTCTCTAGAACTACTGCAGCATCTTCAAAATGAAACTGGCTTTAGTCGATCTTTGACTCAAGGTGAACTGGCTATTCAACAAGGCAAAGTCAAGAACAAAACCAAATCTAAAGGCGAGAAAAGTACAAAGAGCCTAGCACCAGTGGTACAAATGACAAGGAGACGTGGAAAGATTTTATCCATTCGAAAACTTGGACCCGATCCAATTGTTCAGTCTACAGGAAAATCTAAAAACATATTGGAAACGAAGGAATCTATAAAAGAGACTATACCAGAGGGGATGGATATAAACAGTAATGGATCGGATGTTTCTATGGTGTCAGAAAATGGAGAGAAGCCAATGAGTGGAACTGGGAGTGAAAATAGTTCTGGGTCAATGGAATCGAATGAATGTGAGGAGAAGGAACTTTTCAGAGGCAAAGAAAATGATGATCAACTACTCATAGACACCCCAACTATGAACACACCTGCTAAGGAGAGTCACACACAGAGTCCACTGATTGAAATGGTGGCGAGAGTCAACTCTGATCATACATCCTCGCTCTTACGTACTACCTCAGCTGTTACTGAAAGTGGCAACGATTCCATTGGATCTGTAGATAGTCCTGCAGCTCCAAAGCATTCTGAATCTGTGTCTAGTGAATTACTGGAAACTAAAGACACTGTGTTACTTCCTGAACTTCCAAGACGACCAAAGGCTTGTGCTTATGATGCTGAGTCTTGTAAAAAGCATAATTCAGAAACAGAAAAAAATGTTAGTGACATTAAAAAAAACGTCGCCAATGATTCGGAAAACAATGACTTTGCACCATTTGGCAATAAAGATAGAACAGGCAGTTCAGAAACTCCTGGAGTTGGACCTGAATTGGAAAGTAGTGAGGACAAACCTCTGAATATGTGCGATAATGATAGTCAATTAAGTGATTTCAATATTAACAGTACAGGAGAAACAAAACATAATATTAAACTTCGTGGTGATAATGTAGATAATAATTTGGGTGACTTTACAAAACGCATTGACGATATTGAAGATCCTTTAATAAAAGATCAGCAGACTCAAAATGATAGTGTAATAGACTCTGTTGATCTTACTGAAGATCCTCTTTTACCATCCAATACATTTCTTACCACCAATGTGTAACAGACATTAATTATCTATGTTCTTTATTTTGTTATTTTGTGATATTAATTTACGACTGTTATATTTTATGAAATGGTTTTAGACATGGATGGAGAGTTGGGAATTTCTTTTATTATTTGTAAAGATAGAACAATTGTTAAGATTACTTTTTACTTACCTAAAATCACCCTCTTCCTCTGCCCGTTATTGTAATAGCAACACTGGTATGGACGTTAAAAGATATAGCCATCTATATATTTGCTTTGCAAGCTGATAGGCTCAACTCAAATTATCTTAAAAAATAACTCGTGAATGAATGTCGCCAGTGTAACTTCTAAATGGTGCTATACATTGTGCTGAAATTTAGCTCTATCAGCAAATAATCAGACGGCTAAATCCTTTTGTTGTTCTTGGCTCTTTACCCAGAAAATTCGAGAATGGCAAAAGAAATATTTTTGGATTGTGTTCCTTGCCACAACTCTCTGACAGTCCTCATACTTTCTGCTGGTTGATTTTCATTGCGTGTAAGAACAAAGGTCAACGGTAGACCGTTTTTATGCACACTCATAGAATAATCTGTACATACCACTTTCTTAACAGAACAGACTACAAATAGGCTCATTATGCCCTTGAAATGAACCGAATGGATTATAGAATACAGGGAAAGGACTAATATTAGAATGACACTTGACTAAATAATAATATAGCAGATTAATAAGATTAATAATAACAGGTTTATAAATACAGGCCATTACAAAGGTAATGATATTCAGATATCTTTTTACTTATATACTAATGTGTGACTCATAAAATCCGTGTGTGAAAGAAAATAGCATTACCGCAATCTATAATAATTATTCTTCTTTGAAAAGATCAAGCAGGTTATTATATTAAGTAATGTTTACTTGAGGCAATTAAAAAAGCTAATGGGCAGGGTCAATGAGAAATATTTGAAAGTGTGTGTGGGGGGGGGGGGGGGGGGGGGGTTAATTTTCAAAAAAAAGGGCAAAA